TCTTTGTATCCTTATTCATTCGTCCTTATATCCATCCATCTGTCCATTCCTACCCATGGCATCAGTGTCTGTCTACTGGGCCCAAGACCTTCGGCAGCCAGTAGCACAACTCAGTGTGGGCAACTTTCTCTGGGAACTCCCCCTTCATACAAAAAACGAACAGACAAGAAGTGGAAGTGAGTGTTAAGCAGATCATTCAGGCTAGTGACAGTTCTCTGCCACACACTTGGTAGTTTGTTTACTTGGCTCTCTTGCTCTGTATCATCAGTCATGGAGTTTTGTATTTTAAATGCCGTTTTAGGAGATACCAGTCAAGAAACCTGTCTTAGGTCTGCTTTTAAAGTTTTCTTAAGTTCATTTAATTAATATCTTTGTTTTTATATTACCTTCATTTCTGATATATATCTCTCCCCTCACCTGCCTAGGAAGCCATCCCATGTCAATCAGTCAACTAGCATTTATTAAGCACCTACTATGTGCCAGGCACTATGAGAAGCGCTGAAGATAAAAAGAAAGGCAAAAACCAGTCTCTCCCCTCAAGGAGCTCACAGTCTAATGGGGGAGAATCCATGCAAACAGCTGTGCAAACAAGACACACACAGAATAAACTGAGAGGGAAGGCACTAAGATTAAGGAGGGCTGGGAGAGGTTTCTGCAGAAGTTGGGACCTCAGCTGAGCCTTGAAGGAGGCCAGGGAAGCCAGGAGGGGGAGATGAAGGAGAGCATGCCAGGCTTGGGGCACAGCCAGGGAAAACACCTGGTGTGAGGTGATGGAGTGCCGCGTTCAAGGAGCTGTAAGGAGGCCGCTGCCTGTATGGGGAAGGAGTGAGGTGGAAGAGGATTGGAAAGGTGGAAAGGGGCCAGGTGATGAAGGGCTTGGCATGGTAAACAAGAGGATTTCATATTTTTTCCTGGAGGCCACTGGAGTTTATTGGATAAGGGCGTCATATGATCAGACCTGTGTTTTAGAAAAATCAACTTGACGGCTGAATGAGGGTGACCTGTGGCAGGCCAAGCAGCAGCATGTTATTGTGGTAGTCCAGGTGTGAGGGGTAAGGGTCGTCGGCGGCAGTGATGACAGTGGCAGAGGAGGGGGCTGGCTTATTTAAGAGACATTACAAAGGTGGAAATGACAAGACTTGATCACTGATTTAATAGGGATGGGGAGGGAGAGGGAGAGGGTCCAAGGTTGATACCTAGGTTGGGAGCCTGGATATTTTGGGAGGATGGTGGTACCCTCAAAAGTAATGGAAAAGTTAGAAAAAAGGGAGGGTTTTGGGGGAAGATAATGAATTAAATTTTGAGTTAAGATGTCTACAGGATATTCAGTTCGAGATACATAAAAGGCAGTTGGAAAGTCAAGATTGGAGTCTGGGTATTCTTTATCATGGGGCAGCTAGGTGGTGCAGTGAAAAGAGTGCCAGGTCTGGAGTCAGCAAGACTCATCTTCCTGAGTTCAAATCTGGGCTCAGACACTAGCTGTGTGACCCTGGGCAAGTCATTTGACCCCATTTGCCTCAGTTTCCTCATCTGTAAAAAATGAGCTGGAGAAGGGAGCAGCAAACCACTATCTTTGCTGAGGAAGCTCCGAATGGGGTCATGAAGAGTGAGACATGCCTGAAATGCTTGGACAACAACAACGTTCTTTGTGAGCAGTTGAGCCAAAGTAACCAACACATCTGCCGGTGGATGCAGTTATTTCACACTCGTAGCCTCCTCACCACTGTTCAAAAAAAGGACAGGGCGGTATACATTCCCTCATCCCTTCCCTAATGCCCAGGGGCTGGGCATTATAACTACACAGCATTCAGTTTCCTGAGGGTTTTTGCCACAGTGTTGTGATCATTGGGCGTATTGTTTTCCTGGTTCTGATTATTTCATTCTGAATTAGTTCATGGAAGTCATTCCATGTCTTCTATAAATTCTTCATATCCGTTGCTTCTGTTATATTCGTATACCATCATTAGTTTAGCCACCCCACGTCTGCTTTGGTTCCAAGCCTGTGCTGCCACAGAAGTGTTGTGGATGTTTTGGTGATGCCACACATGGGGACTTTTTTTCTCCCTGTCTTTTGCCTTCTTCTGGGCATATGCCCAGCCTAGATCTGCTTTTATAAAACGGGATCCAAGTAGACTTGTATGAGAAGAGGATGGTGCCCATTTTCAAGCTTTTGGTAGCAGCTTATGACAGTTAAAGCTGAAAATGATTTGGGAGATCAGCTTAGTCTCTTTCCCCTACTTTTACAGAAAAGAAAACTGAGACCCAGAGAGAAGTGCTTTGGCTGGGATCCCACAATATCAGGGGTAGAGCCATGATTAGAGTATGAATCTCATTTTAATACACAGGCTACATTGTAAGCAGTAGAATGCTAGGCTATTCCAGTAGCCTGGGCAATAGGCAGTAGATGGTTTGCTTGTTTTTAAAGATGAAGACGTCTTCAAAAATATCGAGTACCTAAGTTTGTGTGGTAGCCTGCAGGCTGCTATATAGGATTCTATAAACAGGTAATTCCTGCTCCCTTTATGAGTCTCCAAATCGCAGATAACCAGATCGCCAACCTCCTGAGGACCAGGCAAGGGTAATAGTAGTCCAGAGACCTGATTGTGTGTCCCACTTAGCTATTTGGCAGTTGTGTGATCCTAGACAAATCACTTCACCTCTCTAGAGCCTCAAGTTTCCTAATCTGTAAAATCAAGGTAATGACAATAATCGTTGTATTCTATTTCACAGGGTTGCTATGAAGAAAGCACTTTGTAACCTAGAAAGCCAGACAAAAGAAAGCTTGGGGAACAGAAGGAGTTTGGAATCCCCATTATCATGCAGACATAGGCCATACTACTTTCTTCTAGAAGCCATTATGTTCCTCTTGATATAAGAACAAATAGAGAGGCTTCTTTGAGGTTCATGATTCCATAACATCCTTAGTTCTTTGATTACATTGTATATAAATAAGTCTTGAAAATGTAAGTATGCCCACCAAATCTAGTAGGTTATAAAAGTGTATATTTGCTTCCTTGGTTAGTACATAGTTATTATTACTAGGGAGAAATTTATTCATATTAAGTGTCAGCCTAGCAGCTCTGTCTGGGAAGATACTCTGCTTTTCTTAAAACCATTATGAAGATTGCTTTATTATTTTCTTCCCAACTCAAAAGCTTTATGTTTAATAAAAGGCATCACCTTCAACCTCTCCTCATTGCTTTTCTTGGGAGACTGCAGACAAAGTGAGGACAGTGCTCTTTACTGGTGAATTCTGGGGGCCATGTTGGATGACCTGGGTAGTCCCTTCCGACTCTTGAGATTCGGTGTGACTTCTGTGATTTGGAGCGAAAGATATTCAAAGACCCAGTCCCTGTGTTTTCCTCTACACTCCCGACTCTAAAAAGATATGCTGTCTTCATGTTTTTTAAGCTTCCAATTTATGAGTAGGAATACATCATTTGTGTTAAGGCAGTCATTATGTCTTCAAGCTGAGGCAAAGTATTTTGTGCATCAGTTATTTTTCCTACTCCAACTGATTCAAGATCCTTGCAAAATTTTCTTTCCAGGGTTATTTCTTGTCCTTGATTCTACCCGAGATCCAACTCTAACTTCAAGGCAGGAATCCTTTTCGATAAGAGTTGCTTCCTCCCATGTGGATCAATCTGGCATCTTGTGAAAAGAGTTGCCATGTCTGCCTCCTCCTTCCTCCCTCCCCCCCAACTTGTTTTTTAAGGAAGCAGGGATTTACTCATATTATTTAAAGTATAACCAAATTCCAGTCTACTTGCTTTTATTAAATATAGCTAACCAACATGGAAGTCTCCGTGATTAGTTGGCTTGCAGGAGTGCGTTTCTCACATGCTTCATTGAACGTCACTGCCCATCCCCTTGGAAAAAAGGTCCAGGCTTTTCTTTCTGTGTCCAGCTCTCCCTCACGGCTCCTGAGGGCTTAATAAATGCTTCCTGATTGTTGATTGGGCACTCGTCAGTCCTAGGGAGGAACTTTGGGACCTTTGGTTATGTAGATCACTGCTTTGGAGGCCCTTTCTCTGACTAGTTAATGACTGTCTTCACTGAGGTTTCTCTAAAGCTCTTAGGAGGTCATTGGTGACTGCTAACTCTTATCCGGACTTCAGGGCTGAGAGTAAGGTCATATTTTGTGTCACCATTTTTGTTAGCTTGTAAGTATGGATGCATGGTGATCATCCGCATGCCCCACCAACCACTGGATAATTTCTCACTGAAATTGTGAGATCTCAAATTTTCATTAAAACCCTCAAACCCCGCGGTATTTCAGACATGTTTAGATGTCAATTGTATTTTTCCTTTTACTATGTCCTGCAGTTTATCTAAAGATCTGGAAGTAGATGTCACTATCATCATTTTACAAAAGGCATAATTGATTGTGGGTTATTTAGATCCATGATGGGCAGTGAGGTGGCGAAGTTTGATAGAGCACTGGGCCTGGAGTCAGGAGGATCTGAGTCCAAATCCAGCCTCAGACACTTACTAGCTGTGTGACCTTGGGCAAGTCACTTCACCCTGTGTGCCTCAGTTCTTCATCTGTAAAATGAGCTGGGGAAGGGAATGGCAAACCGCTCAGTATCTTTACCAAGAAAACTCCAAATGGGGTCCTGAAGCGTTGGGCATGACTGAATAACAATCATAGAGTCGTGCTACTGTTGAAAATGCAACTTACCATTAGCCGCTTGTTTTATGTTTTCTGCTAGGCTTTCCCTCCGGTACTGAAAGTCATGGCCCCAGTGTTAAAGCTGGAGGAGAAAAGAGTTCAGATGTTCTTGAGTCTAAGGTCTCACTTTTCAGTGGAGGAAACTGAGGTGTACAGCAGAGTTCAGTGCCTCAGTCAGGGTCTCACAGGGGGTAAGGTGGGCAGGGCCTGGGGTCACATTCCAAGAACCACATCCGGTTTGAAAATTTTTAAAGAGAAAGCGTCGCCAAATTGGAATTCTAATTCACACACATGTTTTTTAAACATCTCTCTCTTTGTTCCTTTTTAGGAGAAAAATTCCAAGTGGAAACCAAGACGATTGCTGTTGACTTTGGATCACTTGATATCTATGAGAAGATCCAGGCAGACCTGGCAGGCCTCCGGATTGGCGTTTTAGGTCTGTGTCTTTGGCACATTTCTTGGATTCCATCTTTCACGTACTTGCCTTGCATTTATCAGTACAAAACCAGCTTGTAAAACACTACTGTTGTCTATGTACTTTTAAGGAGATGGAGTAAACTCATAAACACAATAGATGAGGTTATTATGAATTTTCAGTGTTATTCATATATGAATCTACTTTTCCTTTTCTGCCATTTTGAGTGTTTTCCCTATTATTTATTTTCATTCCATTTTTTAAAAATGTAAGTCCCTGTTTCTGGTTTAATTCCTTAGTATCTCACCTCATTAGACAAAGCATATACTCCTGAAACTGTTAGGGAATGACAAGGTCTGTGGGGCCATTCCCTGCACTCTGGGCATTTCAGGTAGAAAGAAGCACCAAACAGAATACAGGAAGTACCCCTCCTTTCTGAACCTCCTTGCTGCAGAATCTGAAATGTCATGGACTTTGTAATGAGTGCATTCTTCTCTTTAATGGCCCCCAGAGGCTGGCCAATCCCCCAGGATTGATGTGCAGTTTTCTGACAATTAAGGCTAGGCCCCGGTGCCTTAGCACATGTGATTGGCGTTGTATTTTTCAAAGTCAAAAGGAAGGCTTATCTTGGAATCTGCAGTAGTTTCTGCTCTTCATCCTGACCCCGAGAAGTCCTCTTGCCCCTTCTGCCTCACGCCTAACCCTCTGTCCGTACCACTATCCCTACTGTGTGAGCACCAAAGGGCTCCCTTGTGTGCACTGGCTTCCATGTGTTACTTTAAAGCATTTATGGCCCGCAGTCCTTGATGGCATCAAAACTTTAGCTATTTGTTTGCTTAAATCTGGTGCAGGTGTAATAGCCATGGGTTGGGCACTGAATACCTGGCGAGAAATTTGCCTTCTGCAGATCCCCTGACTTTCTCTTCCTCTTTCATTGGCAGCAACCAGATGTACCCAGCCAGTTTAAGACATTCCTCTGCCAGTGGCCCTCAACCCCCTTCTACAGGTGATGGTGAACTAGAGGCAGGGACAGGAGGCTGAGAGCAAGACTCAACATGAGGGAGGAAACCAGCAGAGAGCCTGTTTAGAGCAGGCAACTAAACTTTCATTTCCTCATTTTAAGCCTTCGTTCTTTAATAATCCTTTCAGAAGGCATGAGTATTAATCATGTGGTAAAGATAATAATAATAATGATGATGATGATAGCTAACATTTATGTAATGCTTGTAAGTTTTGCAAAATGCTTTTTTTGTTTGTTTCTTTCTTTGGCTAGACAGTGGGGTTAAGTGACTTGCCCAGGGTCACACAGCTAGTAAGCGTCAAGTGTCAGAGGCCAGATTTGAACTCAGGTCCTCCTGACTCCAGGGCCGGTGCTCTATCCACTGGGCCACCTAGCTGCCCCTGCAAAATGCTTTTTATAGTAAGAGGTAGGTGTTATTGTTACCCTCATTTTACAGATGAAGAAACTGAGATGAAGAGAGGTTAAGAGACATGTGAGGGTTACTCGGGTGGTGAGTAAGCAGAGGGAAGTTTTGAATTCAGGGCTCCCTGACCCCATTTAAGTGCACCATTTTACCACCTTGTAGCTATATAATCCGTTGTTGTTAATAGCCACTTTTTACCATGCAGGCTTCCAGACCAGCCATGGAGACTGGGGACTGGAAGACAAGAAAAAGCACAGGTGGAAATAATGATGATGGTGAGGAGGAGGAGAAGGACGGTGATGGTGATGATGCCGATGATACCTTGCATTGGCTTGATACGTCATCTTTTTTCAAGTTGCTTTCGTAGACTTAGAATATTAGTTCACATTTATGTAGCACTTTGAGGTTGACGCTCCACTTGCCTTACCATGACCCTTTGAGGCAGGCCTAATAAAAGTAGTATCTCCATTCAGTGGATGAGGAAGTTGAGGAGAGAACTCGATTGAAGTGAAATGATACATTCTTGCTCACATAACTTGTAAATATTGAGAGAGGGGCTGTGTAGCCTTGATGTAAGAGGAAAGATTCCTAATAGTTAAGAGTTGTGCAAAGGGCAGAAAGAAGAGCAGGGGTAGAGAAAGAGAAGGGAGGCACATTTCGGCTCTAAGAAAACTTATTAACCATTCAAACTATTCCTCAAATAGACCAGGCTGTGTATGGAGGTATAGTCAGCCTCCCCTCTCGAGAGGTTTCAAACAAAGGCCGGATGATGATAGTAATGATAGCAGTTAGCATTGATGTGATGCTTTAAGGTCTGCTTTACAGAATTTCTCTTATGCGATCCTCACAACAACTCTGGGAGGCAGGTACTATTATTATCCCCATTTTATAAGTGAGGAAACTGAGGCAGATAGGTTAAGTGACTTGCCCAGGGTTGCACAGCTAGTAAGTGTCTCAGGCAGAATTTGAACTTAGATCTTCCTGATTCCAAGTCCAGGACAAGACAGACTTCAAGCTTGGACCCAGCAAGAACCCATATAACTTTTGTCTAAGGACCAGCCTGGCCCTTTGAGAGAACTGTGATATGTGGCAAACAGATTGTGAGTGATGAATGAAGCACGTAGGTATTTTCAGATTCAAAATGGAAAGTGTGCAGGCTTATGAGAGTGACATTATTTTCAGTAAGTTGATGCAGAGAAAAGCAGCAGAGAATCAGAGGGGTTGTGATGGAAGGTCAGCCTAACTCAACAACTTGAGGTTGAGAATTGGTGTCCTTGAGATTATTAAATAAAAGAAATAGGCATTCAGCTTCTTCCTTCACGCGGATGCAAAGGAGAGTGAGTCTCAGGGTATCTTATGGATAAGTGCATCTTTTTCGTTGAGGAAGATGAGATCAAATGAGTTTTACGCACAGTTTAAAATGAGCTTATTAATAATAGCTCACTCTTCTAGTGCTTTTTATAAAACACTTTCCTCACAACTGTCCCGAGAGCTAGGTAGACTGAGTTTTTAGTCCCATTTTACAGAGGAGGCCTGCTTAGGTAAAGTCATCTAGAAAATTCTAAATTTTAGAGTTGAAAGTACCCTTATCGATTATCTAATCTACCCCCTCATTTTATAAGATGAGGGAGCTGATGCTTAGAGAGGTGGATGAGGGAAGTTGCCCACAGTCAGAGCTTCAACCCAAATCTAGCCCTCTTTCTACCTATTTGTTCTGAATGTTAGACAACATTTTTGTCTTCAGGTTTGGTTAACAGAGGCCAATATTCATTTAAAGGCCTTTGAACCAATCAACACAGCTGTCAGTGCAGTCGTGACATCTCAGGTTTAAAGTAATAGCTTTCCAAAGTCACAGAGCCTCAGATTTGAGGGACAAAATGCGTGGAATTCAGTCCATGCCTGAGCAAGAAAACTCTCTATAACATACATCGCAAGTGGAGACTGCCATTGAGAAAGAATCTAGGCATCACCACCTGAAATAGGCCATGGGGCTATGGGATCCCTCCCACTGGGAACAAGATCTCACATCAAGGAAACTTTGAATAGGAAATATACCAGTGATAGCCTTTTCCTGTATCTTTTATTAGGACTTTCGTTTCTCTTTGGAAAGACAGAGCAAATGAATTAACATGGAATGTGCTTTGCAAACTTTAAAGTGCTGTATAAATGGTAGGTGGTATCATCATTATCATCATCATTATTATTATTATTATTACCACTATTCTTATTACTTCTGTCATCTAGTTCAGCCACCTTCATGTTTAGAGATGAAGATGAGCCTTTGAGAGGCTGGTTGCCACGTGGTAGGCCATATAGATAACCTTGAGGCAGAAATGGGCTGATTTCTGGTCCATGTCTTCTTCTCCACCCCCTGTGCGAGGTGTTCTTGCCTTTGTTTGTGTCCTGGACCGCTTTGGCAGTCTGGGGAAGTGGAACTGAAGAATCATGCTTTTAAAAAATTGGAGGAAATGCTCATTTTCATTTAGTCCTGATAAAGATGCAAGTTCTTTCCCATCCAAGCTTATGGACTCTCTGAAAATGAACCCTGGTCCTCAGGTTAAGAACCCTTCTCTTAATCCCTCAGTGAAATTAGAAGCATTGGCTGAGGGGGTATGAGTTTTGATTGAAGGAGAAGGCTGAGATCATTTTGGAGCTTGAGGAAGAGGGAGCAGGACTGGGTGGCTCTTAACAGCTCCATTGCCCTGATGGTTTGGGAAAAGAGAGTGGGGAGAAAGAGTTTGAAGGTGGGAAAGGAGGTTTTTGCCCTGAGACACATCCCCCTGCCTGAAAATTTTGCTTTTAGCCATTCAATAAGCATTTATTAAGGCCTTAGTATGCAAAAAGATACTGTGCTAGTCTGGTGCTGTTGGAGATCAAAAAACATAACCATCACCCCCCCCCAAAAAAAAAAAATTAAAAGGCTAAGGGCCTGGTTCTTCCTCTTTTCCAATTAGTCTTCCCAGAGGCCAATCCCTTCCTTCCAAAAAGAAGAGTTAAGAGAAGATAGGGATAGGAACTGTCCAAATCCTGTCCAAGGTAGCCACAAGTGACAGGAAGGATAGTGAGTTACCTGAGGGGATTGAAGGGGATGACTTGTGAGGGATTCCTTCCACTCACTTGTTCCAGTAATGATATTGCATTTTGTAGATCAAGGAGGGAAAGCTAAGTCCTCCATCAGGTCTGCCCCAGGCTAGCTGCCTTGCCCCGCCTCTTGAAGAAGCCTCCTCTTGCTTAGACATGTGGCTTTATTGTAAATGCAGCATATGGCAAACTGGGTTCTCTGTCTTTGGAGGAGCATGGGCCCATGCTTTCTAGGAAGGTTGGTCTAGGCTGTCGTACCCTTTTATTAGTGTCAGGATATGAAAGTCTAGCCTGAGTTTGGCTCTCGCACGTAATGAACAAACCAAAAAGGTACTTAGAACATGCAGACACTTTGGCTTTATCTCTGGCTGCTAATAGCATTGATCCAGGTTCGGCCTCTAATTTACAACAGTTCTTGGGGCTTTGATATGGGGCCTGTAACTTCACTGGGATAAGGGATTCTCCAGTGGGGAAACTTCTTCCATCTGTGCAGTTAGACACTATCTCTGCAATTCA